ACCTCTAAAGTGGTTAATCAAGGCTACATTGTGACCCTACCATTCTTCAGTCTATGTATAAATGGTATGGTGGAACATTTGTCAGAATTACACTTTTCTCAGTAAGAGTAGGTGGATAGGTCTTTTTGATACTGGTTTATACAGATAGCAAAATGTTAATACCTGATATTGAAATAGGCCTCAGAACATTATTGAGACAGGTCAGTATTTATTACAAGCAAAAACTGCTTATTATCCTCAACAGAAGCTTAGAATAACTATGTTTGACAGTCTTAGGTACTATGGATCTGTTTCTCTTGTTTTGTGCAGTAAGTCACGACTAGAGGGAGCCCACTGAAAGAATGGAACTTATGGAGGTTTTGACTCACCAAATCCCTGCTAATTCAATGGGCTTACTCTAGTTGTGACATATGTGCTAAGCCACAGAATTTCAACTACTAGAACAAGAGGAGGTTGCTTGGTTTACCTGATTCTAGAAATTTTCAGGATGAAATAATTCCCTCAGATGGAGCAGCAGTTGGGAATCCTGGAAACCTAAAGCCTCACTAGATAAATTTGCTTGGTTTCTGCTGGTCGCCTGTTTCAACATCTTCAGCTATAGCTAGGTTTGAAATACTGATTCCTTCAATAATGTTTTTGATCTACAAACAACTATTAATTATTTTCTGAGAATTCTTCTTTGTACTCCTTTAGGTCTTCTAATATCAACATATGGAGAAGTAAAATTTAATTTATGGAGGAGGTTTTTTTTACTGAATTTAGTTGAATATGTGAATTTAGTTGGTTTCTTTGCAATTAATCTCTGAACAAATAAAGATAGCTAAACCTGAATGTTCAAACAGGTGCAGGATTTCTAGACATCTTGAGAACAGCTCTGCTGTATGAGTGGATTTCTCTCATCTCTGCGACTCTTCTTATTTTGCTGAGCTTATAAAGTTTTATCATATAAAGGTGTTAACTTAAGTACATTTGAATATATTGTCACTTGCTGCATTAGAAGGCCACTTTCACTGGACTCTATATAATGAAAGAGTCTGTCATGTGACCATATTCATTCAGGACTTGCTATATGTAATATTCCAGAATCTTTTATGTGTGCTTGAGCTTAAAAGGCTTCTGAAGTGTTCTTTATTTGAAAATGTCTGCCAGGAAGATCAGAACAGGGTAAACTAATCGTATTATAAATACAGATCTTTCATATTCTGAAAAGCAAGGTTTACTTCTATAGTTATAAAGTCTAAATTTCTTCCTGAAACAAATCACACTGTTAGGTGAACTGCTCTATTCTAGGCCACTTGATCTATCAAAATATAGTTAAAATTATAATATGTTGTCATTTTTATCATTAGTAAGGTCTTATGCTTAAATATAGTACATGGATACACTGTATTTTAACTTTTTATCAAATATGGTTGAAATGTTATTGAATGTTTTCTTTTTGTTTTCTGTGTTCTGGTGTTTTATTATAGTATTCATTATGGCTTGTGCATAATAAAAATGATGATGATGATGATGATGATGATGATGATGATGATGATTGATGATGACTGATTTTGAGTAAAGCGTAATATCTGGACTTCTGTAATTGTAATGGGAAAAAGTTGCAGTTTATTGTAGCAGTTTTAATGATGTTTGCATTTTAGTCAAGTAAATATGATCAAAGTTATTTCCATCTTCATAGTTAGCTTGCAAATATGTATCTTTTAAAGGTTTTATTTAGATAGTGAAAATGCTTGAAGTATGCGTTTCTGTGATCGAAAGCTGTATCTAGGAGCAGCGTTGACCAAACTGAGCACTTAAGTAGGAATTGCATTTTGAAAAGAGATTCTGATTTGAAACCTCTAGGTGGCAGCACTAGATACTACTTTCTTGTCTTTCTCAAAAGCTTTCATGAATTAAGCTGTGATTAACTTTGAAACTTACATAGTTCTCAAGTTAAACTGGAATAGGGATTTGGATTCTTTTTCAGTGGGAGCGACTGTCTTTTTAAAATAACACATTTTGAAATGACACAACCAACCTCGCTAAGACTTTTTCTCTTTTCCTAGGGATTTTTTTAATGTACAAACAATTACTGCAAAGCTTTAAGCACATATGTTGTAATTAACCTATCATTATATAATAGCTGTAACTTAAATTTTACATTTCTCCAAAGAGATGATCATGTTAAAGCCTATTAGGTTGGTACTGCTGTTAACAGAATGTAATGGCTTTTCAAATAAGATGTACGATCTAAGATCCTTCTGTTTCCATAATTAATTTGCAGCATCATAACTCAATTAATTATAAGAGCCTGTATGTGAGAAATTAAATTGGATCTCATTTTGACAGGTTCACACTTAAACAAGAGAGGTTAATTCAGTACAAACAAATCTTGGGTGCTCCCTTTTACTACTCCAATATCACATTAGATATTTTAAATATATTGCTAGTTATTTTATCATACTCTTTTTGGTACTCAAATATTATGTAAGTTTATGTTCAAAAGTGGATGAGTTGTATGAGAAAACGGTCTGTGTAACAAAAGAGTGGCTGAAAATGTTCTGTAAGATATGTCACGTAAGTCTTATGTCATTATCAGATGCTGAGATTTTCTGGAAACAAATAATTTCTTACTTCCCCATGAAAGCTCCTGAGGCTGTCATGGGATATTATTTGTCATCCGGGAGATGTTGGAGCCTTTAATTTCTGAATATTGCCATTGATGGGATGACTTTACCAGTGATGGTGATTTTCAGAAATTAAACTTCCCCTGTCTTGTGGCTCCCAGTAGCTTCCTCATGACAGAAGGGATACAGTGGGAACCTTGAGACTTTCGGGGTGTGGGGGGGCAGCAGAATCAGAAATGTTTTGTTTCCCAAAAATGGCCACAGCTGATGACATCATCAACCTTACACAGTGGAGCTGCATGAACATAAATTTCGGCCATAGTATTATTAATCAATATATCTATTTGAAATTGAGTCTCTTAAGTGATTTTAATACTGTGGATATAAATACATTATTAAATCAGGACCACGATTGGCAATATTGTTTCCAGGCCAAAAAAAAAAAATGTTGCGAAAGTGAAAGCAGGTGCAAATTGCTGTTGATGGAGCCCCATTCACATTAGTAGAGCTCTGCTGCACAAATCGGTATCTAAAATTCTTCTTAATGGACACAGAAGGTTTATGAGTACTTCACCATTTATTTAACTCCCAATATTTACTTTTTTATATGTAAACTGAGTGGTATTTCATAAATTATACTAATGTTCTAGTTCAGTAGAATATGAGTAGCATTATAAAGAAGCATTAAGTCTTAAGTCTTGAAGACAGTCGAAATGTTATGAACCAAAGTCAGATTTTTTTCAAATGACCAAGTTGTCAAAGAGTATCAGAACTTTTAAAAATAATTTTCAATAATTTTATTTTTTTCGTTCCTTTCTCCTGTTTAAAATATACATTAAGAATTCTTACCTCTATAATAAGATCTAATGTGGTAGATGATATTATGATAGCAGATAGTTTTTCATCTCCTGCTGTGGTGTTTGTATAAACTTTTTTTTAATCTCCTTGCTCTCTCAAAATACCATGTACTGTAAATAGCTGAAGATCAGACTGTCTGGCTCAATAATGAAAACACTATTTTTAGGGCTATAGATTAGGTAATCTAGGTAATATTTCCTTAAAGCATTAGGAAGCTAAATTGGTTATCAGTTCTTAGACCTGAATCTCTTAGCCAATTTGGAATAATATCAAAAGTCATAGTGATACATATAGGGAGAATGTTAGGGTTGTTCCTACAAGAGTTCTGCAGTTTGCAGGTATAAGAAATGTAGTTATAGGTGAGTATTCATTACTTCTTTCAAGAAAAGAAAGGTCCTGACATATTGTTTCACAAATGTTTATGTTGCCAAAAGGTAAATAGAATTCTTTTTATCATAAAAAACCCAAGTATCGTGAGAGTAAATGCATGAAATTAAAATAGCTGGTTTGTTAGCTGACTTTTTCCCCTCAGGGATGTGCTTTGTGTCCAAGTTAACGTTTTTTACATTGTAAAAAGCATTCTATACTTTTTATTATTTATTAAGAATGATAGTGTCAACTACATTACCATTATAAAATAAAATACGTTAGTAGTCTTGCTTATAATGAGTGTCCTTGGACTCTTTTCCCCCCTCTTCAAATGTTTATGTTGCATAATAATTCTAATGACAGACAAACTCCTTTTCTTTGTGCTCCTCTATTAAAATATTAACCTTTATTTGAAATCCTTTATGTAATCTGCTGCTTAAGATGTATCTCTAAGAACAAAACACATTAGTGTAACAATAAATAATAGAGATGGGGGTGCAATTCATGTTACAGTCACTCCTATTTCTTAAACTTTCTGGGTTCTGGTAAGCAGAAATGCTTTTTGTTTCCAATTCTGATGTTTTAAATGCTGCTGCTGAACCTTAACGACTGCATTAGATTGAAACTGCATGCTGTTAACCACTGAGCCAAAATGAAATCGACCACTGTATTGAAGTCTGAGTTGGCAGTTGTGTACAGTCTTGAGCATGTGGGTAATAGCAGTACAACCAGGTTTCTTTTAATGGGGTTTTTATGTTCTCTTTTTCATTTTAATGATGCCATTTTGGTTTAAAGACTCTCCTAATAAAGATGCACACTTTTATTCAAATATTCTCTGTGTAACTTAAGAAAGTAGCAATAAAGCTGTTCTCTAGGAGTTGCATCTCGTAAACAGAATGTTCTATTGCATACTCCCCATGATAGGTAATGCATTGTGCTTGTTTTATTTATAAAGCAATTTTGTGTGAAAAGATAAGTAATTTTTTCATGTTATTCCGATTTTCATCTTGGGTTAAAAATGGAAAAATGAGTTGTTGTTTTTTAAAGAACCTCTTCTTGAGGGTTCAATTCTACTTTGGATTTTTCAACTCACTTTTGAAGCTGATTTATCAACTTAGATGAATTGCTTTCCTTGAACTTTGAATTTATATTTCTTACTAATAGGGCTGGATCCCTCACAGTTCAAAGTCTCTCACTATTATCATAAAGATGAGGAAAATGGTGATTTGCTTGGTGGCCCAGTTCAGCTTACAGATGAAGAGAAATATAAAGACTGCGAAAGATTCAAGTTTGCTTGCCCGAAATGTGGAACAGAGAATATTTATGATAGTGTCTTTCATGGTTCGGTTAGTATTTTGATGTTTATTTTGAAAATGGATTATTTCTTTAAGAGATGCTGCATAAAGGAGTTCTATTTATGTTTCAATATGGGACATTTATATACTGATTACCAAATCCACTTTTACATACTGTTCTCAGGAAGGATTTGTCACGTCCTTATGGCACCGGCACTCCTGAATTTTCCACATATTTAGTATCTTAGAACTGCTCATTTAATAAAGTCTGTTCAGTAACATTTAGTTACCCTAAATCAAACTAATTGGGAGCAAGCTTTTTTAAAAAACAAAACAGGATTCCGTTTTTTTATTTTTACAGCACTCGTCTCTTTTATATAGACACTCTTCTGTGTTATCTTTCCTGCTGTCTTTGTACATCAGACATAAAAAAGTCACTGGGTACATTCTTGTCAAGAAGTGCTGCCAAAAATGTATTTGTGACCTTGGATCAGAACTTGAAATAAAGCCAACTATTTAACTCTACTGCAATGTTATGCCTGTACTAGTTATTGGCAAATTAGGAGGCTGTGGAGTAGTGAAAACCTTGAAAGCTAAAGCAAATAAATTCTTTATCTAAATTAAAAGTAATTATTTTAAGTTAATTTGGACAAACAGCAGATGTTCTGTGTTCTTTGAATCAAAACAAGTAAGAGAGAAAGGCTGACACAGATCAGCAATACTTGGTAAATCCTTGACTTTGTTTCATTACAGCTGTAAATAAGATAGTTAATTGCATGGAGGCTTGACAACTTACAGATGGGCTAAGTGTAAGAGGAGCGGATGTCAAGCTATGCAATTTCCCACCTGGAATTGCTTACTGTTAGTGAGGGAATAGTTGGATTAGATCAGAAATGTACAGATTTTTAAGCAGTAATAGAAAGTGGGGAGAGTATGAAGTTCTCTGCTGCTCTGCAGTGCATTTCTTTATCATGAATATTTGCGTCACTTACAGATTGGATGATACAGTATAGTGTTCAGTCTGTTCGTTGTAGTGGGGCAATTAAAATAGGAAAAATACTGTTACATTTTCATGCCTTTCCTTAAACTGTGTGCTCGTAGAAATATTGTAAAAATATCAAGAAGCTTTAAAGACTCACAGATTTATTTCAGTGTAAATTGCCATGGATTATAATCCATTTTTTTCAGACACAGAAGCCTTCAGTTTGTATATGTTGTAAGCCGCCCAGAGACCTTTGGGTAGAGTGGGCAGCATATAAAATAAATAAATAAATAATAAATAAATAAATAAATAAATATGTACTTTATAATTCATGGAACCTCACATTGAAATAAATCTGTCAGCCTTTAAGGTGCCAGAATACTTTATTTTTAACTTTTGTTATGCATGGTGAAACAAACTGACTACTTTTTTAAAAAAAGAGTTGTAACATTTAAATACATTATCATTTTTCTTTAAACTTTACTTTTGTGTTTGTAGGGTCTGATTATGACATTCAGTTTGAAAAAATGTAGCAAAAAAGAATGTGATGAATCCCCTTTGGACTACGAAATGCAGATTAACAACAAGCTGATCTTAGATATAAGAGGTTATATAAAAAAGTATTACACTGTGAGTAGCTTATTTTTAAGATTCTATTTGACTGATTATTTGAATTATTTTTTCATGTCCCAATCTTTGTTCTTTTGGGTCTCTGCTTTGATCTTAGTTTTATAAAACCGTTGTTTATTGGCCTGGGAACTGGCTTGCTACCTCTGCGCTCCCACTTCATCTCTTCTCTCAGGCTCATAATTAAAACCACAGTTTCCCATGTGGCCGACCTGGGAAAATGAATTAAGATCTTACTGTTTACCATGATGTGAAATTGGGATCTAGTTTTATACCAAAACATTTGCACAGTTTGGATGTCACATGGAATTGTGGTTTGAGAAAGCAGGATATCTTCATGGAGGCCTGGTGTTCAAGAAGGAGATGATGATGAACAGGAGCTGCATGGAAGTACATTTTATTCCTAGTCTGAAAAATTATAGTTTATCAAATGGGGATTGTGACATTAAAACTGGGCCCAAACATGTTATGTGTAAGACTGGCCGGAATATTATTGCTGATTTATAGATGTGTGAGGAAAAAGGCATATGTCTTGGTAACAAATAGCTGTTTGATAAGAAGGTACTAGCTGCATTTTTGGAGCCATACTGATTGTGTGATTGGGTGTGTGCCCAGGAATGGAATCAGCACATCATTAATGAGCGACAACAAGCTGCCAAGAAATATGCAGTTTCGATTAAACAATTATAAATCAACAATAAGATTCTGGCCCATGTTTCATGTACTGTACTTAAAACAGACACATTATGGTTTTAATATGAATTTTGCATGGAAAGAGAAACCGTTTCGTTATATAAAACACAAAGTGTAATAAAATCTAACTTCTAAAGTGCTTAGAGCAGGGGTTTTAAACTCAGTTTACCTGGGGGCTGCTAGAGGCAGAGTCTGGGTGAAGCTGGGCCACATCAGATTTTCTGCCAAGCGGATCAAGAGCCCGAGGAAGCCGCCCAGGAGTTTCCTTATCCGACAGACAGGTGGGCTGGCTGGCAGGCTGCAGTTCTGGATGGAGGATGCAAGAGGTGCTGTCTTGGGAGAGCGAGGCAAGGTTTTTTTTTTTAAACTCTTGAACAGCAGAGGATGTGTGGGTGCTTTGGGGGGGGCAGGCAAGGCGAGGGCCACAAACTATCATCTGGGGGGCCGCATGTTTGAGACCCCTGGTTTAGAGACTGCAATTGCTGGCCTTTGCTCTAGGGTTTGTGTGAGAATGTTACCTATGAGTATTGTAAGTAGTTTGCTTTGCTTTTAGTCTGAGAAAAGCTTTTTTTTAAATGTGTGAATTTCTCTTATTATCATTCTTCAGCAAAAGATTGCTTACAAAGAGTAGTAATTAGACAATCCCCACACTTATACTTACAATCTAAAATAGACAACACAAAATAGAAAATCAGTTTTTTGTTTTCTTTATTTGTTTTATTTATAGGCCACCTTTCTCCTGATAAGGGGACCAGAGGTGGTTCTACAGTTAAAAGGAAAGAGGAGGAAAAAGGTAAATTCAGTCTTAAGTGATTAGTTTAAAAGTTCTAATGTTCTTTTATATGGCAGTAAAGTGTGAGGGGGACTACGGGCAGCAATATCTTCTCTGACTAATGTATGGGGTAGGCCTGATGTCCCCTTTGTTCTTACATTCTTTCTGGAAGACCGGGGGGGGGGAGCAACATCCTGGTGGCCCCAGTGGACTGCTTTTCAGCTTCATCTGTTGCAGCACAATTGAACTACACCAAATTGCAGACATATGTAGATGTACAGGATTTATTTGGGAGATTAGATAATCATTTGACATTGGTATAGGATTTTGAAACAATTAGCAGTTTTGCTCGGTGCTGCCATGTTCCTCCCTATGATGTTCAAAAAAAACTTGGTGTATCCTGAAAGTAGTCTGACGAGTCTAGTTCATATTTTGGAAATGTGAAAGAAAATCGTAAGACTCCCAGTAATTTCTGTCCTGGTATAGTGCAACTACTTTACGCAAGGAGAAATACTCTTAATGCTAATAAACAACATTTAAGAAGGTGGAATGTTTGGGAAAACTCTGTAACCTCCAAGGAGTTGTGTGTACAGAAACCATCTCTTAAAGTCATGATCAAAAACATTACTTGAGCATGAACTTACAAACATTACTTGAGCATTACTTATTAACATGAGTTTGTAAAGATACTTGTTCTTGTGCTTGTCAGAGATTCAGTGATTTACATCATCCATTCTCCACCTTTTTTGGGCTAAGATCATAAATGCAGTATGAAAGAAATATAAGCCAAAACAGAATTTTATGTTGTGTTGTTTAGTCATTTAGTCGTGTCTGACTCTTCATGACCCCATGGGCCAGAGCACGCCAGCCCCTCCTGTCTTCCACTGCCTTCTGGAGTTGGGTCAAATCCATGTTCGTAGTTTCAATGACACTGTCCAACCATCTCGTCCTCTGCCGTCCCCTTCTCCTCTTGCCTTCACACTTTCCTAACATCAGGGTCTTTTCCAGGGAGTCTTCTCATGAGATGGCCAGTGAATCTTATAAGGTACTGTGTGAAGAATTGTTTCTGGTCTGTGGCCCCCTTCAAATGTGTAAGGGCTCCCCAGGGGGCCATATGGCCCCCATTGATAGTGGTTTATAGTGGCCCAAATCTTTTCATTTAGTTACTCTGGTGTAGCAAAAATTGCATAACTTTTAGAGAGACTTAAGAATTCCCCATAGGCAATTACCTCAGGCAAGAAATCACCATAGATGTTATCAGTTGTATTATGAGCTGTATGACTCAGTATGCAACTGCTAGCATCTATGGTAATTTCTTAAGTTGGGGAAATTTGCCTCCAGTGGTTACTCTATTTGAGTCAATATGTAAGAGGATTTTAGACAGTGTTTTCAATAGTGGCCTAATGTAGGTGATAACTGGAAGATTCAGAATGAGATAGTTTAAACAAATAGGATAGCTATACATAGGATTGTGGGGAATTGTATTGGTGGAAAAGGAAGACGCATGAGAAGTTTGAATAGTTGCAGTGAAATTGGTAACTGAAGTTCAACTGGTGTTTCTATGATAAAAATATATAATTGTTTGTTGTAAAGTCAGTTCTGACTTATGACAACCTTTTCCAGGGTTTTCTAAGCAGAGACTATGCAGAAATGGTTTGCCATTTCCTTCTTCTGGGCACAGTGTGGGAGTGCACAGTTTGGCCAAGGCTGCGCAGGCTGGCTCTTCTCCCAGGAGGCAGAGTGGGGAATCAAACTCCCAGTCTCTGCCTCCATTGCCAGATATCTAACTCACTGAGTTATCCAGCCAGCAGACCATGTTTAATTCAGTTTCTTTATATATTTATGAAATGTTTAATTTTAAAAACTCAGAATAATATAATTAGAAAGCGGATTTTCTGAATTTTTTTCTATACTGTATTATGTATTGTGCTGAATACCCCATTCATAAGTTCTGGATGGATTGTGCCGTGAATCTGCTTGGTTGGCCCAGCTGGAGCACACCCACTGAATCAGTGGAATTCACATAATAGTTGATGTATCATTAAGCAATTTTTTTAAAAAATGAGTCTACAACTAGTTTGGACTACTAAAGGAATTTAGCCATTATCTCTAACTTGTTGCATGAAAGTTATTAATAAAAAAGTATGTACTTATTTTTAAAGCGCTTGTCACATAACTGTACTGTAATTTTTGTCATTTTTGTTCTCAGTTTATGAATACAGTAGCTAGGCATGTATTCAAGGGAGAGAATGTAATTATGCTTGTGTTGTGTGACACTAACACTTGCAGAACAATTTATTATGCAGTTTAGTAGTTAGTGCATTTATTTAAGTTTCCAAAATAGGCAGATTACAAATCAGTGATTATCAAGCTAAGTTTAAGTAACATAGTAATCATTTTTCTTCAATTTTCTGAGGGGTCATGTTCCCTTAGATAGCAAGGCAATTAAACTATTTAGGACTATCACGTTGCCTTACCAGTTATTGATAGATATGAGGTATTGGAGAAAACTTTGCCTGAGATAGTGGCTGAAATCCTATCGCTCAGCAAGCATAATAAATTATAACTAGAGAAGGCCTGTTCAATAAATTGGAATTTGGTGAGTCAATTTCTCTGTCAGCTCCATTGATTCAATGGGCCTATTCTAATTACATTTACTACTCTAAGCAACAGTATTTTAATCATAACATTAATGCATATTTTCTTAGTAATATAGGTATTTGGCCATGAAATATGTCTGTGATTAGTTTCGTTATAGTTTGGAAGCAGTTTCTCTCTTTTGGTGGGAAATAACAAGGGAAATTCCTTTTGAACATCAACAGTTTTATTATTCTGAACATTCGGAGAATCAACAATTACCTCAACCGGTTCTAATAAACTGATATTATTCAACTGTCCATAACATGGTGTCAACAGTTCTATCTTTGAGTTGGTGGATTCTAGGAAGGGGCTGGTCCAAACCGTTCATGATCTGTTGGTCTCCTCAGCAGGGTACTCCTCACTGTGCAGATGATTCCACAGCAGGGATGTCTGGCCCAGTCGCCCTCCAGAGGCTAGTGATTGAATGTGGAGTCTGGCTGGACCACCTTCTTCCAACGTCCCTGCCCTCTCGGATATACCACCACTGTCCATTCTAATGGATCCAGTGGGATTTCCTTTAACTGGATATGGTCAGGATTAGGCAGTCGTCCTTCTGTCTTTAAATTAGGGAAGTCTTCCAGTAACCTTTCATTCTTTAATAATTAGCTCCTTTTCCCTTCTCTCCTATCTTCTTTCTCCCTTCCTCTTCTCCTGACCCCGTGATTCTGAATTCTCTCCTCCCCCTCTTATCTTCTATATCTTCCTCCCAAACTCCTCCCCCTTTTCTCCCTCTTTATATTCTACTAAACAGACCTCAATCTTTTCCTTTACCTTCTTCAGCTCCCTCTTTCCCACTTCCTCTACATTCAGCCCTTCCTCCAATGTCTCTCCCCTTTTTTCTACTTCATCCCGTGCAGGTATCTTTTGTGAAGGGGATGGCTCACTCTCCATTTTCTCC